CCCCCCCCCCAACCACCAAAAAAGAAATCCATCAAAGACCAACTGCATCTTTAAAGGGAGTTTAGTTCTAATACCGCAACCAAATACCCCTCCATTCTCCTAAATAATTGACCCTGCCACAATCTCCCAATAAATTTCTCTCTACCCCCCTATCCCCCCAACAAACCCCCAAAAGACAACCCCCTCTTTTCTTTCTCACTCTCAAAAAGGCAACTGTGAGTCAAAAGAGAGAATTTAGAAACAAGATCATTATCTCCTGCCAAGCCCTAACACAAACATTTATCAAAATGAGGGCAAAGTTGAAAGTTTAACAATGTCTGGCGCCAAACAGTAGCTGATATCAGGCTTTTAGTTGCCGAACATACATTTGGCTAGTGCACTTCGTATAATAAAAGGAACAGAGTGAAATTTACCGTTGTACTTTGTAATATTGGTCATATTTATCCTCCGTTATACTATGTGGCCAAATTTACCCTCACCGTTAACAAAGTTTTAAAAAATACCCTCAAACCTAACGGATTTTTCACCGGGTTATTTTATTTACCCGATTTCGCTTAATTAACACATAAACCCGTAACCCATAATATAAAATGGATCGACCCATTTTTCTAAATGTCTTGAGACATTTTATTCCATTTTGAAGGAGAGACCGAAGTGCTATGTCTTAGGTTTTAATGCCTCTGTGATTTTGCTTCCAAAATTTCTCTTCAAAGGTGCAATCTTTCTTCCTAAATTTCTCTGATTATGTTTATTTTAGTTGGTTTCTTGTAAGATTGTTTTCTATTTATGTCGTAGGGTTTTTGACATAATTGGTTTAGGGTTTTCTGAGTTGTGTTTTCGTGTTAGGGTTTTGGGTATGTGCTAAAATTGTCAAATACGTGTTGATATGTATGTTTTGAGTTGTATATTGTGTGTTTTGGTTAATTTTGCTATTTCTATTTCTCTTATTGTTATTTACGTTTGTTCCTTCTTTTAATAGGTCTTTTATCCGAATTTTTACGGAGAACTTCTCTTACTGATTTGGAAGAAACATTGCACAAGTTGTTTGAAAAGACATCGCACGTCAGTCTTTCTCCAAAATGGAATAAAATGTCCTAAGACATTTAAAATAATACGGGTCATTCCATTTTATAAAATGGGTTAAATGGGCTACGGGTTATGCGTTACTGAAGTGAAATCGGGTAAATAAATAACCCAATGGGAATCCGTTAGGTTTTAGGGTAGTTTTTAAAATTTTGTTAATGTTGAGGGTACATATGGCCACAGACTAATATTTCAAAAAAGGGGTAAATTTGGCCTTTTTCCCTATAATAAATGCTCTATTTGGATCCATAATCGTTTATTCCTCAATCAAGTGCCAAAGGCTTGACTCTATCACAAACGCAAGAACATATTTCCGACTGCATAAAAATTTAGGTTTCTTCAACTTCTGGAATAATCTCCATTTAATAAAAATTACTCTCTCTCACACACACACATATTTGTATGTACACATACACACACACACACACACACATGTATAAAATGCAAAGGAGGGGGGGGGGAGGGGGGGGGAGGGGAGTCATGATACTCACAATTTTGCCCTCTTTATTTGCTTCTGCCAACTTCTGATCCCAACTTTCTTTCGTAGTAATAAGGCACACATTTCCACCAGCAAACTCGACATTATGGGATGAATCATCATCATTGTTTGTGGACCGTGTCTTGAAACAAGAGAAAAGGCTATGTACCTGGAAAAAGGATTTAATACTCCAACATAAGAACTCTTTTCATGCTAATGAATTACTCTCAAATTGGGTTGAAAGGGTTTCAATCCATTGATTAACAAGGACATAGTGATGTATAGATAACATATGGATCAATCTGCAAGTAAGATTTTCTAGGCTGCAACCAAGAGTTTTCCTCCTTTTATGTTTTTTATGTATTATATGTTGGTGGGCTTCATTATTTTATAACAAAAGGTCTAGCTTTCCGCTTCTCATCAATCTAAGTTGCTCGATTGCCCTGGGTATTAGATGTTTGATTTATTAAATTCCCAAAACACCATCTTTTCTAATTATACAGCAATATTTTTTTTAAAAATAAACTGGTTTTTCCATCAAAGGACATCAGACTCATTATGCAACTCTATTTTAGGTAAGTCCCAGTTAACAGAACACAATTAAGTGCAATATTGAAGTTTTTATTGTCTGAAAAGTTTGGATAGATTAGCTGGGAGAGACTAAATTCAAAGGAAAACAAAATGGATAGTCAACTTACTAGATGAACTCATGGAAGAAGATCGAGACAATCGTTCAAAGTCAGAAAACATATGATAATAAACAATGGAATCCATCAGTATATGCTACATTACTTTTTTTGTTAAAAAGACGGTAAAAGCATATACCGATGAATTCAGGTGTTCATCTAAATGTTTGATAAACATCGGGAGTTGACTGGCAAAATATAAAAGAAGATAAACAATAGGAAAAATTCACCAATTTTGGATGTCTCAAGAAGAAATGTAATTAGCTTCAAAGATTTCTCAATTTTTAAGAAATGACACTAGGAATAAATGCATTGAACAGGTGCCGAATAGAATATGAGAGAGGAACATAAGGTAACTACTATTTTTGGATTTTCTTTCAGACCATTATGAGTTAGAGATGTTTGCAAGCTGGCTTGGGAGGGTAATAATGTTCCTTATGTATTCAGATGCCAAAAGACAAGTTGAATTCCTTATAATGTAGATGATTAGGAATCAAAATCAATACCAATCTAGCAAGCTCATAAAATATAGGCAACTTAAGACCGGGAATACATATAAGGTTGGTAGTTTATGTTATAATTCTTTGGTTGGGTTGTCTTTGCTTCGTTTCTGTGTTTCCATGTTAGCTCCAGAATTTAGTTGTGAGTTCTCTAAATCTATTCTTATCCTGGTCGAGAGCCATTTTCCTCAGTAACTAAGACTAAAGAGTTGTGACGGTCAGCATAATAAAATCATGGGACTATAATCCAGCTTACGGCATTTCAGCAAATGCTTTCTGAACTTTAACTAGTGTAAGACAACTCCAAGATAAAAACACTCAGATGGTTTCTTTTTTTTTCTTTTTTTTTTTTGGTTGGAGGGGGGTGGGGGGGATCAGGTAAGGCAACTTTTATTAAGAAACTTCAAAAAAATACCAAGGGGATACTTTCTCAGATGGTGTTCTAATTTATCTTTCAAGAAACAAATAGTCTGTACTATGCTTTGTATTTTTCTTGTTTCTTTCCTTATTCAAAAATTTTGCACGTGCTCTGTCCTTTGTCACGCAAACATATGAGGGAAGAGAATGATAACAGGATCACAGCGCATATATAGAGTCGGAGGAAGAGCAACAGAAAGAACTATAATAGAGAATTGACAGAGCCAGGAGACATTAATGTGAACCAACTATAAAAAGGCTGAGAGCAGAGACGATGTAAATGCACAAATCACAAATAGGAGCAGGAGAAAGCAATGTGAACTAAGCATAATAGACTGGTAGCAGAGGCAGAGTAAATGCATAAACTCCACTAATTATTACTACCAAAGGAATTTCTTTGTCACTAAAGAGATGAACTGAAGGACAATTTGTAAGTGAATGTACCATATCAGTAATCCCCATTTTTAGTGGACAACGAATCAACTTCCAATTTAAGCACCAGTAGTATCAGTTGAAAACCCACTTCCTGAAATCTGAGAAAGAGCAAATTAATGACAAAAACGCAAAAGGTCGGGCATGAATTGAACAAGCTCATGGACCAAGAAGGATGAAGGTGGCTACAAACAGTAGCGGAACCATGGCCAAGGAAGGGGGTTCTCAATGGATTTTTTTTTTTTAAGTAATAGGGCAAATATATATATATATATATATATTTGAATCCCCCTGTAGTGGCAAAGGTAGTTCAAAAATTGCTTGAAGTCCCAAGTTCGAATTTTTGAACCCCCTTGTTAAAATTTCTGGCTCCGCCATTGGCTACAACCCCCATTCAGACAACACCAAAACAAACAGTTCCTACTAATTTCAAGTAAAAACTACAACCTGCTTGACCTAAAACTTAATACCCCTTTACCAATGTTTATCTATTTTCAAGAAGATAAGCACAAATAGAGCTAAAGATATAAATTTTATCCCATTCAAGTAAACTACAAGCTGCTTGACCTAAAATTTAAGAGCCATTTCCCTATTTTTATCTATTTTCAAGAAAATAAGCATAAATAGAGCTAAAGATGTAAACTTAATCCCATTCAAGTAAACTGTAAGCTGCTTGACCTAAATTTTCAAGACCCTTTTCGTAATTTTATCTATTTTAAAGAAAAAAAGTACAAATAGAGACTCTTCAGCGTAAATAAAAGATGTCTCACATGAATAATTAACTCAAAGATTAGATCTCTATCATATATTGAAGAAGATTATTGCATACATAAATAAAGGATAATTCATTAAGCTCCAATTAGAAAATCAGCTAAAGGAATTGCAGGTAGGAGATACGAACCAAAAGCCCAATCTGAGAGGAATTCAGACAACAATCAACGAGGTTTATGAAAAGATACGGCAATTGTTTGATGTGTATGTACGAGGGAGAATTATGATGATGCCCGTCGATGACTTTGACGCGGTTTCTCAAACTATCCCAAACGTGTTTCTCGTTTTGTCTTCATTTGTTGGGATTTTGGGCAGGTTCCCAGAAGTGGGACTATTTGTTACATAAATAAAGTACCTGTATAATGCAGGTGAAATTTTACCTGCAACAATTTTTTTTAATTAAATCAAAGTTAATTTAACTATTAAAGAAATACTAATTATAAATGGGTGAAAATTATTTATACCCTCAAATTTTACTTTAAAAATTAAACTCCCTCCTCTGCTTTGAACAATTATCATTCTCCCCCTCATTTCTCAATTGACTTTTTGATGCCTATTTTAACCTCTATATTAATCAATAATTATCTCTTTCTATTTTTTATTTTTTACTATTTTGGTATTATGATGATATTTTTGTGTTTTCTAATATCTTTCCTATGAACTTACCTATATAATAACTAAATTTTATTTTAAAAATAAAAAATATTAATCAAGCATAAAATTTAATGGCGTTGAATAATGATAAGGATGAGTAGAATAAATTTTTTTAAAATAATTTAATTTGCTCTTATCGATAATTTTATTAATAGCAATGAAATTTCAAAAATTGAGAATAGAAAATAATGAGAACCTTATAACATATACTCAATGCAGGTAATATAAAATTTTATAGTTATTAAAAGTAAAGGAAAATTTTATAACAAACTCCTAAAAGATTATCTATTTACCACCGAGAAAATATAACTAAATATATATAATTAATGTGTATTATATTAAAATAAAAGTATATAGATTTTGTCATAATTTTATAAAAGACTATTCTATTTATAATTTATTAAGTTTATTATAATTTATGAAAAAAATATAACATAATTTAAGTTATAGGTAAAATCATATAGAAATAGCATAAAAAGAGTATTACATATAGGAAGGAATTGAAAATAACAAAGGTAAAATAGACCTTGTGTCGGTTAAACGAAGGAGAATGAAAATTGTTCAAAGTAGAGATGAGGTTTGATTTTTACAGCAAAGTTGGGGATATAAATGATTTTCGCCTATTATAAATTAGGGTTAGACTAATGAATCCTACCTAACTTTCTCGTTATATATTTTTAGTAATTTATTATGATTAAAAAATAAATATTTAAATATAAAACATCTATCATGTACATATTAATTTGACGCTAATATATTTTCACGTGCAATGTGTCATGTTGACGATTGCTTTTTGTCGATTCTTATGTATGTATATTTGTACAAGCTTAATAAGAAAGTATTATCATGTGATATTAAGTGTTTGTACTAATATTAATTTTAGGTGCGAAATGAAAAGTTACATCACTCATTTGACTTTTTGCTTTAACGTTAAAATTTTAAAACGTGTATATTATTACTAAGCATTTTATTTGTTATCTTGTTACTTGACCATAATTGAAGGATAAAACTTTATGACTAACATTAGCTTCAGGGTAAGGCTGTTCATTTGGATCGGATATCCAAATCCGAACCGATTCGTTCAATTTTGAATTTCGAATTTCGGATTATGTTTATTAAAATTTCGGATATTCGGATCGGATTCGGATTGGTATAATTTTAACCCGATCTAATTCGAAATCCAAAATTATTAGGGCATATATAAATACAAAACTTTAATTTCGGATAGTTAGTACTTCCTTTATATCTTCCTCCAAGTTATTACTTTTATAATTGCTGGATTTAGCTATATTGGCACCATAGTACCCTCATAATTGCAGAAACATAAATTTTTCTTGTTGTATTGCCTCTTTTACAAAGAAAATATACGTATGAGTTTGTAACTTTGAGGCATAACAACTCGAACATCTAGAGAAATATTTTCTTAGAGATGTAATGCTTATAAAAGGGATAAAAAAGCAAAGAGATGTTTGTATTAGCACAGAACACATAAGAAGCAGATAAGGCAGATGCATTAGATTAGCAATAGCCTTAATAATACGTGTAATTCGATCCGAAATCTGAAATATTGATCAGATCAAACTTTAAAATTCGATCTGATCCAATATTAATTCGGATCAAATTCGGATTGCATTTTATAGAATTCGAAATCCGAATCTAAAATGTGCTAAATCCGATCCGATCCATGCACAGCCCTAGCTTCATGTCATTCTCCCTACTACCGTAACTAATGTTAGTTTTAAGCTATTTTCCTTGCTAGTTGTCCTTTCCTTTTCAAGAAAAAAAAAACTTTTTGTAATATCAATATGACCATTCCAATTGAGTTACTTGTAAATAGAATGCATCACAGACTTGAACTTGTAATTGATGTTAATGGTTAGAGAAATTAGATTGTCATTTTCAGAATATCTAATAAAATACAATCAGATAAATTGGGGAAGTGCCTTAAATTAATTAATGACGTGATTGAAGAACAAGGATAAAGATAGCCTACTAAATGGTTTACCCCTAAGATTATATCCAAATTCCCTTTACACACTCCTTGACCACGAGAATCACTTTACACATTAAAGTTCTTCATATGTGTGTCTATCTAATACATATCATTTTTGTACTTGACCACTTCTTGTAGATTGCATCACATGTACCAATCAAAGAGTGACATGTGTTATAACTTAGTTAAAAAAATTATACTTGAAATAACCCCAATTTGTAACATTTAACAAAGAAAAAGGAAAAAAGAAATAGTCTGGGCTTTCCCACCACCCCACCCTCTAGGCGTATCATCATCTCCAACCCCACCCCCTTCGACTTCCTCCTAGTTAACTTAAAGTCTGAGTTTAAATCAATTAAATTTATAATTGAGGCCTTAAGCAATTAGATCAAAACTAAGTGTTCTTCCCTTTCAAGACTGTATATGTCACGACTCAAATCTACCATGTCGTGATGACACCTATCGTGAAACTAGGCAAGTCGACTCTTTTATCAAAACAGCCTGATATTTCAATTTAAAGATTACTTCAAGCTATTTAAATAGTAAAACTTTGTAAGATAAATCTGAATAACAAAGTGCAGAAAGAAAAGTCCGACATCAGGGTGTCACTAGTCATGAGCATCTATTAAGAACTGTCCGATAATACTAAGACTAATACAGTCTGGAAACCAACTAATAACATCTATAGGAAGATAAGAGGGAGAAGAGTAGGGCTGCGATCACCATGCAACTACCTTGCTAACTCCAACAGATCCGCGACGGATGAAATCAACACTCACTAGCACGTCCAACAACCCCTGGATCTGCACACAAGATGTAGGGAGTAATGTGAGTACACCAACTTAGTAAGTAATAAAAGTAAATAAAGACTGAGCAGTAGTGACGAGCAATAAAACATATACAGTTCATATCATGAAATCTCAGTAGAATACAGCAGGCTTTCAAAATCAGGCTTTTGAATCTACTCAGCTCATTTAAATCCAATTTCAGTAAAACCTTTTAAAACATCTTTCAACAGTTTTCAAACGAAGTGATGAAACAACGAGTAAAAATGATGAAAACATAAACAGCCCCTCGGGCAAACCTCACAGTCACTCATACACAGCCCCTCGGGCATACCTCACAATCGCTAGTAAACAGCCCCTCGGGCACAACATGAATTAAGAACAGCCCCTCGGTCACAACACGAATCAAGAATAGCCCCTCGGGCACAACATGAATCAAGAACAACCCCCCGGGCACAACATCATATCACTCACTCAGGGTATTGCGCTCACTAGGGGTGTGCAGAATCCGGGGGGCTCCTACAGCCCAAGCACTATATCAAGCCACCTCGTGGGATAAATCAATCGGGCCACCGGCCTCACAACTTCATGAATCAGTAACAATATCAAGCCACCTCGTAGCATAAATCAATCGGGCCCTTGGCCTCACATAATCATGAATCAGTAACAATGTGCGGCGCTCAGTCCGATCCCATAATATCCTCACAAAATAGGCCATCGGCCTTACTCAGTCATAAACCTCTCAAGCCACTCGGGCTATCAGTAAAAACAAATAGGGTGCTCAGCCCAAAATAACATTTTATATGCATCAAAACGGGTAATAAAGACTGAGTTATGAAATAAGTAAATATAGCATGACTGAGTATAGATTTTCAATCAAAATAGTGAGAGGATAATATGAAAATGCCCCTAAGGGTCCAACCAGCTATGGCACAAGGCCCAAATATGGCATTCAGCCTAATTTATAAAAATTCTTTCTTAAACACATAAGTATCATATAATTTCAGTCAAATACGCAACTTTATAGTTGCTACGGGACAGACCAAGTCACAATCCCCAACGGCGCATGCCCACACGCCCGTCACCTAGCATGTACGTCACCTCAAAGTAGTAAAACAATGTGAAATACAGGGTTTCATACCCTCAAGACTAGATTTACAATCATTACTTACATCAAACTGGTCAAAACTCTACACTGTGATGGTTTTGCCCCTCGACTCGGCATCCAATCGCTCCGAATCTATTCACAACTAGAACATTACCATCAATATATGCTAATGGAATGAATTCCATAAGAAAAACTATCAAATTAGGCACAAATCCCGAAATCCTCTCAAATCCGGCCCCGGGCCCATGTCTCGGAATCCGACAAAAATCACAAAACTAGAAAGCCCTTTCACTCACGAGTCTATAGAGACCAAATTCATCAAAATTTGACCTCAAATGGTCCCTCAAATCCTCAACTCAAACTCTTCAATTTCCAAGCCCTAACCCCTCAATTTCATCCCTAATTTCTTTTAATTACATGCTTAAACAACTAAAAATTACCATAATCACGAGTATTGAGTTCAAGTAGCTTACCTCCATGAAAACCTCCTTGATTCACTCTTCAAACCCCTTCAAAAAGCTCCAAGTCCGAACAAGAATGGTGGAAAATAACCCAAATTTCGCGAAGTCTCCAATTTATAGGTTGTTCCCAGCAAAACCGCATCTGCTGTCCCATTCCCACATCTGCGGTACCGCTCCTGCAAAAACCTTTTCGCTTCTGCGGAATTTCATTAAAAGCCCACTTCCTCTTCTATGATATCCTGACCGCATCTTTGGTCATCGCAAATGCGGGGACCAAGCCGCACCTGAGATCACATCTGTGCACATGTGCCT